GGTCAAGCTGGAGTCGCTGAAGCGCTGGAAAGAGGAGCGCGGCCTGTGGTGCGAGAAGGGCGTGCAGGTGCTGCTGACCACGGTGGGCGCCTTCGCCGCCTTCGGCCTCATGACCATCGCCATCAGCACCGACTACTGGCTGTACACGCGCGCGCTGCTCTGCAACACCACCAACCTCACGGCCGGCGCGGGCGACGACGGCGCGCACCGCGGCCCGGGCGCGGCCGAGCGCAGGGAGCCCGGCGGCCTCACGCACTCGGGGCTCTGGCGCATCTGCTGCCTGGAAGGTAGGGCGAGCCCCTCCGCCTCCCGCCCCCTGCCCCCCACGCTCAGCTCCAGGCCTCGCCTTGCCCTCGCCCCCCACCCCAAACGCCTCCCTATCCACCACCCGCTTTTGGCCGTGGAGCCCAGGCTGGCCTCGAATTCACAGCCATCCTCCTGCCTCAGCCTCCGGAGTGCTGGGAGGACAGGTCGCGCCACCACGCCCCCCTTTCTGCCTCGAGGTCTCGCTGGGGTGCCCAAGCTGGCCTCTGCCTTGGGCTGGAGGAGCTGGGACTCCAGCGCACCGGCTCCCGGCATTGTGCCCCGGTTCCCCTCATCCCTCGGGCCCTCTTCCGCCAGGCCGCCATGCACCGGTCTCCCAGGGCCTCTTGCCTCTACCTCTCTTGTTGCCTTCTTTCGGGGACCTCTGTCCCCCTCCAGGTCCCCCGCTGTCCCTTCTGGTGGCTCTGCTGGCCTCACCTCTGCCTGCCTTGCTGCTTCTGCCTGGACGACGCCCCCCCCCCCCCTCTGTGTGCCAGGCCCCTCTGTCCCCAAGGTGCTGCACTCTCCCTCCCCTTCTGGGCCAGCGTTTCTCCATGCCCATGCAGGCTCCGGGCTGGGCAGCGCTGGCCCCGGGTGCTGGTCTCCCGGTGCATCTGTCCCCATGCGGCCGCGGTCCTCCCACCTCCCCGAGCCTTGGGCCTGTCCCCAGCATGGAAGAGGGTGGCGGGCAATCCCAGTGTAACCCCAGCACACCTGAGATGGACCGCCCTGGCTGTCCTCTCTCGCCCCTCCCTTGCGGCCCCTCCTCCTGTCCTCCTAAGCTCGCACCAAGCAGGGACACCCTGGCCTCATCCATCCCGCAAGGTGGCTGCCGCCTTCCCGCGGCGCTGAGGGAACGAGGTTCCCCGAGGCTCGGGGCAGCGGAGCCCCTGTCGGCCCCCGCGGTGAGATGGGTGTGCTGCACAGCGTGGCCTGCTGCCGCCCTGAGCCTGGAACCGATCAGAAACCTCAGTCGGCCGCCACATTTAACAATAGGGAGATTTCTCCCTATCGAAGGCCCGGCCTCGGGCTTCTGAGCTCTGGGAAGCTGACAACTTGGGGCCCGGCTCTGCACTGACCACCTTGGCTGGATCTGCCCGGCAACTGCTTTCCCAGATCTGGCCAGGAGTTCCCGTGTCCCCCAGTCACGCCCGTGCCTGCTACCTCCCGCCCCTCTGACCTCTCACACGGTTACTTTCTTCCTCTTGAGGATGTGTGAGTTCATGGCCACTCACTGGTCTGACCCAGCGCCAGGCAGAGAGGCCACGCGTGGGGGCTTGCACCACAAAACCCTAGGACACTGTGTAGTACGGCGTGATAATGCCACTCACCCACCCATCGACCCATC